CCCCGCCCCCTCCGCCTATTCCCGCCTCCCTCCCCTTCCACCGCACGTAGCATCCCCGGGTCCAGCGATCTGGCCAATGCCAAGCCGCAGGTGGCCCACCTGCTGGCCGGGCCATTTGCCGCGCCGGGCAGCGTCCCGCCCATGAATAGTATGCTGCCGCCGCCGCCGCGGCCGATGCCCGTGTTCCTGTCGCGTACCATCGCCGCTGTCACGGCCAGGCAGACGCAAATCGGCACAACCAACAAGGGGCTCCTGCTGCCGGGATCGGCCGACACCGACCGGCAGTTTGGCTTTGCCGCCATGTCGGGGCCCGGGGCGACCGAGGACCCGGGGCCCGGCGCGCGGGATGCCCTGGCCCCGGGCAAGCGCCCGATGCCCCCGGCCGACGGCCCGGCCAGCAAGGCGCCACGCTTGGCCGGGGCCGCTGCCCGGTCGCCGGCCGAATTGGCCGCCTCGGTGCCGCTGCACGTGGCCGTGGACATGGTGGTGTGGGGCCTGTCCCAGGTGCAGCCCCGGGCGCCGGTGCCGTCGGCGGCCCCGGGCCCGGGCCCGGGCCCGGGCCACGGGGCCCATGACCTCGCCATCAAGGCGGAGTTCCCCCCTGTGGGCATTCCGCCGGGGCTGGGTTTCCTGGCGCCACCCCCCCCGCCGGCGGGCTTGGGCTTCGGGGCTCCTCCTCCGGCCCCTCCGGCCGGTGTGCCCATGCACCCATCGGCCGGGGCGCCGGTGCCGGGACCGGGCCCACGCCCGGGCCCGGCGTCGGCCACGCCCGCTGGCCAGGGCGCCTCGGGTGCCCTGTCGTCGTCGAGTTCGGCCGGCCCGGTGGCTCCGGCGGCCCCGGCTCCCGGGCCCTCCGTGGACTTCGAGGATTTCCCCTCGGCCGGGGAGTTTGTCCTGTCGGCCCTGGACCGGGCGCTGGGTGTCCTCTCCTCGCTGGGGCCCCCGGCCGGGGGCCCGGATGAGGCTGACGCCGACGCCGACCGCCAGGCCGTCTGCACGGACCTGAACTCCCTGATCATTGGGCTGATTTCGGTGCGTGTCTCTTTCGTCTTTTGCTTGGGCGAGCGCCGTGCGCCCGCTCCGCGCCAGCCCTCTCACCTTGGATTGTCGGCGCCGCTCCCCGGCCCTCAGCGCAACATGCTGGACGCCCAGTCCACCGGGGCATGCAGTGCCGAGCTCTTCGCCTTCAGCGACTCGGACCCCGAGGATGGAGCCGACACGGCGGCCGCCTCGCCGGTGGACTATGCCCTGCCGCTGGACATGCCGCTGCGCATGGCGCTGGCCGAAAAGATGACGTCCTTCTGCTCCGGCCGCCTGCCGGACACGGTGCAGCTGGCCCTGTCGTGGCTGCACTCGGAATTCCAAGCGGCCTCGCTCAAGCTGGAGGATGACAATGCCTTCGCGCACTATGACTCCTGCCTGCATGGGCTCCTGGCCCGGGTGGCGACCAGCCTGCGGCCCGAGTGGCATGACATCCGTGTCCTCAGCCAGCCGGCCGCCTGGACTCCGCTGCAGGTCGGCGCGCCGGCCACCCCGTCGGTGGTTCTCCTGCTGGCCGAGGTGCCCCGACTGACTGAGACATGCTTCGAGTTCATTGCGGCGCTTTGCGGCTCCGGTGGGGCTGCCGCCCCGGCCGCATCGGGCAAGCCCTTCAGCTTCCCGCTGCTTGACCGGTGCGTGGCCCTCTCTGGCGCGACCTGGGCCGGCTCCTGGCCGGCTTCCGCCCCGGGTGCCGAGCTCGGGCTCCCTCTCCTGTCTGGCCTCTTGCCCTTCGTCCCTCTCCCTCTCTCTCTTACTCATACAAGCACGCGCATTTCATGCTTCCCCCCCCCCCGCCGCCCCCTACCCTGTCTCCTTGCCTTGTCTCCGCTTGGCATGCCCAGCGAGTCGGCCCTACGACTGGGCCTCGCATGCGCGGCCTCCCTGGTGGAAAAGCGCCGCCGGTCACTGGACCCCGGGACCACGGACCCATGGATTCACCGACTGCTGACGGAGATCCTGGCCCCGCTGTGCTTCTCGGCCGACAAGGCCAGTCGGTTTGTGGCCATTCGCTTCGCCATCCTGTGGCGCTTTGACCCGGGCGCCTCGCCCGCTTTCACCGATGGCCTGGCTCCCGAGGGGCATGAGCTGGCCGAGCCGGATGGCGGCCCGGACATCGGGCTGACCATCCTCCGGCTGACATGCCGGCACTTCCTGACCCTGGCCCAGGTGTCGCAAGCGGACATTGACCAGCACCATGAGCAGCAGCCGGAGGCGGACCAGCGTCCGGCGGGGGCGGCGGCGGCGGCGGCGACAACGACCGACGCGCCGGACGCCGCCGACCACGCCGACGCGGCCGACCCCTCGGACAATGAGTACCTCCTGTCTTTCATGGTGCTGTTTGTGGTTTTGTCCATTCGCCAGCCGGCCCTGCTGAATCAGTGCGTTGCGCCGGATTTTGCCCTCTTGCCCGGTCACATGCACTGACCGCTGCCTGTGACATGGTCGTGCTCCGCCCTCCCCCCTCCGGGGGTGACCTTGCCCGATGCCCCTGCCGGAGCAGCCTGGTGGAGGTTTTCGCCCGGCAGACCATCCCGGAAGTTCGGCGGCTGCTGATTTCCCAGCTCGAGCGGACTTTCAACGTGTGGTCCGCCCAGTCGGCCGGGTTTTTGTCGGCCGTTCGGCGGGCCGCCTGCCTGGAGGGGCTGGATGAGCAGCTGGCCGCAGCCGGGCCGGAAGGCGATCTAGCGACCATCCGGGCCACCAAGTTCGCCAGCACGGTGGAGCTCTTCGTGGCGTTGGTCCGGTTGGCGTGCACGGCCAAGCCTCCGACCCCGGCCATGCTGGGCCTCCTGCAGGAGGCCCTGTGCCCGGTGGTCGACATGGTGGACGTGTTGGAGATCCAGCCGGCCGATGGGCCTGGCGACATTGTCCCCCCGCGCGAGTGCGCCCCCTGGCAGAGTGACTGGGCGGATCTCTTTGTTCAGCTGCTTTCCTACTCTCTCGGGGCCATGAGCGCCGTGCGTGCCCCGCATGCGACATCACCCCGCATGGCCCTGCATTCGCGCCTCGTCCATGGCATGCGCCCTCTTGCTCGGTCTGCGTGCCGGCCTCCTGACCATCCTCCTCTTCTTGCCTCCTCCTCCCCCCCCCCCCCCCCCCCCTCCGCCCCATTCCCCGCCTGCCCCTCTGGTCGGATCCCTTCGCGCAAGCAGCATCAGGCTCTGGCCGTGCTGCCGACGGTGCTGATGCTGCCGATCCCGGCAGCCAGCAAGAGCGAGGTCCTGCGGTGCTTCTTTGACGGGGCCGGCTTCCCGACGGCCGACCAGGCCGAGGCGTATCTTGGACAGACGCTCACGGCGCCGGGGTCCGTGCTGGCGCCGGTTCTCTGGCCCTGCACGGCCCCGCTGACCCCGGAGGTGGTGCTGATGGCCCTGCACCAGCTTCGAGTGCAGCAGCCGGTGCTGGTCCCCCCGGCGGCCGACCAGGCCGATGGCTCGTCCACCGGCGGCGACCAGTCTCCTCGGCTGACGTTGCGCGGGCTGCTTCTGGGCAATGAAATATGCACGACGCAGCACGCGGCCGCCTTCGGGCCGGCCGTGGCCGCCACCGTGCTGCCATTGCTGGCGGCCGGCGTCCCGGCGCATGTCCTTGTCGGCATGGCCCCGGGCCAGCTGCCCCCGCGGCTGGACTTCGCCAACCCCATCCCGCTCCTGATCTTCCGGACCGTGCGTCCTCGGGCCCCGCGCCATCCTTCCCTGCCTGCCCGTTTCCCGGCACCCCCTTGTGCCCCTGCAGTCACTTCGCCCCCCCCTTTTTTTTTCCCCGCCTCCCC